TTTCTTTCTTTCTTTCTTTCTTTCTTTCTTTCTTTCTTTCTTTCTTTTCTTTTCTTTTCTTTTCTTTTCTTTTCTTTCTTTCTTTCTTTCTTTCTTTCTTTCGTTCTTTCTTTCTTTCTTTCTTTCTTTCTCTCTCTCTCTCTCTCTCTCTCTTTCTCTTTAAGTTTATATATCTTTCTCTGTCTTTCTCTCTGTAGAGCGCGGCCAAGACGAGGACAAGAGGAGGACAAGTCCTGGACACAGAGCCCAGCCACAGAGTTGACAGGGTTCAGGAGGACAATGCCTGGACACAGAGGTTAGCCACACAGCCCAGCCACAGAGTTGACAGAGTTCAGGGGCACAGCCGGCCACAGAGTTGACAGAGTTCAGGGGGACGGCCAAGAGAAGGAGAACAGGAGGGCAAGGCCTGGACACAGAGCCCGGCGCGGCCAAAAGGAAAACAAGAGGAGGACAAGGCCTGGACAGAGCCCAGCCACAGAGTGTTCAGGGCGCGGCCAGTGAGTGTGGCCAGCTCTGTTCTTTCTAAGATAGAACCCCAACAGTAAACTGTTTGGGGAAAAAAGACCTGCGCAGGCAGAATAAACTGCAACGCAGCGGCACCCTGCAGCGCCCGCCAGCAGCGCCAGCACACTGGCTCCAATGCGCATGAAAGGCCAGAGACAGGTTGGTACCCTGCAGCGGCACTAGCGCCCAAGCTCCAAAGCGCACATCTGGCAACTGCACCCTGCAACGGCACCAGCGCCCCAGCTCCAAAGCGCGCACGGCCACACATCTGGCAGGGGCATCCTGCAGCGGCACCAGCAAGCAAGCTCCAAAGCGCAGATCTGGCAGCGCCGCCCTGCAGCGCACGGCCGCCAGCGCCCAAGCTCTAAGTGGACGGCCACACATCTGGCAGCGGCACCCTCCACGCCCCCAGCACCCAAGTTCCAAAGCGCACAAGGCTGCACATCTGGCACTTCAGCACCCAAGCTCCAAGCGCACTTGGCCACATCTGGCAGCGCCGCCCTGCGGCGCCAGCACCACTGCACCCAATAGCTCCCGCTATCTCACGAAAAAGTGCACACGGCACCCTGCAGCGGCACCAGCGCCCAGGCGGCAGACTGATCGCCCGGGTGTCCACGCGGGGACACAGTGCGGGCGGCAGTTCATCATGGATTTCCGCTACACTGTGAAGTAAGCACGTCCACGCCGGCCCGACTATAGGTGTGAATACCACGGGCGTTGAACACACACCCAACGCCTTCCCTGCTCCAAGACTCCAAAAGTCGCTTGAATAATTGACATCGAAAAGAGTGCCCGGAACTGGAGTTCAGACCTGCCAGGCTACTTCATCAATTCCACCCTCGGATGGGCGGAAACTTTCGTCAGCTGAAGGTTTGCCCACGTCATGCCATTTCCATAATTGCATGAGGTGAGCCCGGTGTGAAGCCTGCCATCCACAGCGTTCGCCCCCAGTCAATGGCGCAATGCGTCACTCTTCTTCACAAACTGATGGCCAAGGCAAAATAAATACAGATATGGCTGCTCCTGGCCTGAACACTTCCGCGCGGTCCACTCCGCCACCATAAGTACGGCAAACAAGGCACGCCCACTTGCCGGAAAATGAAGCTTTCTACCACATTCAGCACAAGTCCTCAGGTAAGATCCCTTGGCGGCATTGCCTGCCAGACTCTATATACCTAAGGCGCTTGGATCGACCTTCTTTGACAAGGGAACGTAATGGAGCCAATGTTTCGGCACAGTACATGGGCGTCTCCAAAAAGCCCTATGCACTGCTGCCATCAGTGCGTTGGATTAAATCACACTGACAAAGCACTGGCAACCAACAGGCTTTTCTTCTAACAGGCGACGTCCTGTGTAATTTTCTTGGGTTCAGCCGAGGTATTGAAAGAGGTGAAGCCCACTCCTTGTCAATGTTGCATACCACCCAAGCTTCCTCGATCCAGCATGCCACTTTTGCCTTGACCTGGTCAGGCTCCAAGACTTGCGTGTGGTCGAAGAGCACTTGCGCCTTGTTCCCATGAGTTCTACTACACGTCCTTGAGGGAAGCCCGTGCAGATGAACACTGAGGACCCCCCCCGAAAGTCAGGATAGGAAGGGTAGATCAAGTGTAGCCCAACCGACCTTTCAACCATAGCCCTTTAGCCTCCTGGACACGTCGCCGAAGAACCCTACAAAGGACAAAGACATCTCGTCCCATCTCAGGCTCAAGACTGAGTTCCAGCTACTGGCCCGGCTCCACATCAAAACCTTCATAAAGGTGGCTGTTGTCGGGCATGCGGATCCACTATCGTCCCGGCATGCTTTCTGTGTATACCCAAGCGCACTCTCTAGTGCTTTTGTGTTTTCTCACTCGCAACTGCCATGCGCACTCTCAGGTGGCCCTTTTTGCAAGCTTGAAACCAAAAAACGGCGGTTGAGCATAAAAGCTCGTTCTCTAAACTGCGTTGAGGGTCACTCATGGCAATGTGTCTGTATGTATGCGTGAGTGCATCTGGCCACCAAAAATGAACAAAGAAAGAACACCTTCCAAGCAATTCTATTGGTATGTGCGGCTTCTACGTATACAGTATATACCTATATTATATGCCTATATATAAATGTATACCCTTATATGCACAGGGCATAGTGCTCAAACTCACCTGCAATCACACCCACCCTCTGAGACGTACACTTTCTCATCACCCACTGGCAGAAACCAGCCATGTATTCGCCTTGAAATTGCTCCCTATTTGATTCTGGCAGTGTTACGTGTTGCTTCATCCAGTAGGGTATCAGGTGAATTGAGACAAGCTTGGTGGTCACCGTCAAAGTCTGACTGAGGTCTGAGCAGACCGTCGACGGTCTCTAGGAAAACCTCACTCGAAGCCAAAATGATTCTTGAGGTGCTGGTCCGTGCTGGTGTGGAATCCTCAACACCTCCACTTCAGCACAAAAGGTCGTACACTCCGACTCACTAACATGGAAGTGGAACACCCCCTGTTCATAAAGAAAACGGGTCTTCCAAGGGACCATTTTCCACTTCCATGTTAGTGAGTCAGAGTGTACCTGTACCTCTTTGTTGCACCTCAAGACGTCCCGCACACAAACAAAACAAAACTCTCTGCAACCTGGCCTTTACCCCCCTGAACCCCTTCCTGAACCCCTTAGGACCCTTGTGTTAGAACAATGGAGCCAGGACTCTAGAGATCCCACGGTTTGGAGCTCAAATGGATCATAAGTGGAAGGCTCCTTCATTACCCCAAAGCCCTGAAGGACCAGTGGCCCAATGAAGCAGAATGAAGGCCCATGATTCCCATGATCCATACCTTTGGCCAGCCAACAACTAGCGGAACCAATCCAAAGCCTTGCCCTCCGTGCCTGCCGACTTGGCACAATTCCACAGCAAACTCAAAATCTCAGTGCAAGGCATCCTCGAACGGCATCTCCCTGTCAGCCTCAAAAGAAGCGACTAAGGCGACTCACAACAAATCTGAACTTCAATGCAGGGCGGCGACAAGCATCCATGCAGGCCATCTGGGTCAAAGACTGGGCTTCGCATGCCTTCAGGATTGTCACCTCGAGAGGACATCGAATTCCGACACCAAAGCGTCTTCCATTAGCTGTCTTCATGGCACGGAATGACACCAAGGCACTTGGGGTCTGCATGCCCGGCATGACACAAGGAACATAAAGCATAGACTCCTGAAATGGCACAAGTGTCAGTGGCTTCGCGGAGTGAGTTTGAGGACCCGTATCCTGCCGCATGATCAGGTTGATGACAAAAAATAGTAGTAGCCCCACCTTCGACAGTGTCCGAAGAACGGCTGCAAACAACCCGCATCCACCCTGCACTAAAGTGTCCCTAAAATTCCTAAAAGTCTACGAATCAAATGAGTAGTGCAAGCGCTTCTTCAAGGAAGCTTCCTTGAAGAAGCGTGAGCTATCCTGCGTCCAGTTACTAGAAGCTTAAGTAGCTCTCCCTTGCTTATTTAAGTAGGTGCCTACTCAATTAAGTATATAAGGAGGCAGGCCCACGGCCGAAGTCCCACAATCTCAAGCCGAAACCGCTCTGAGACAGGCCGCCACAATCATCAGGGCTACAAGCCATGAGGAGTTCAGGAGAAGCACCAGCGCCAGGCCGATGATTAACTGAGGCGCAATGCCACTGAAACTAAAGCAAGAAACGAGCAAACAACATGCGGCATGTATACATGTATATATAGTATTTGCATTGCATCGTTTCTTTGTTCCGTCTGGCAAATGGGGAACAATCTGTTTGGTAGACAACTTTCTGCCCTTGCCAAGATGAAGACTGGCAGCATCTTGAGGCCACCTGCTCCAGGCGTCGCATTTCAACTCACTCTCGGGCAGGCTCGGTTTCCTGCCTTCGCCTCTATGGTCAGAACGGACTCTTGATCCCATTTGCGTGTGAGCAGTTGCTCGGCAACAGTCGAACTAGCCAGGGATGAAAGCACAAACTCTTGGAACCTGTCCATGAACATCACGCGAACGCAACGCACCAGAATGGATAGTCAAGCCATTGAGTAGTCTTTTATTGCAAAGGACCAGCGATTCTTCGCGATCTCCTTCAGTCGACCACTTTTCGAAACCATTTTACCTTTGGGCTGGCCACCAGATTTCGGTGGGCCAGCCGATCCACTCCACGCAGATAAAGCGAGGAAAAGGCTGGTGTGCCTGAGCTATTAAGAAATATGCCGTCCACAATGACTGCATTCTAAGGTCATGCAAAGCCTGCAATTCAAAAAAAAAATACTGCAGCGTCTGACCACCGAATCTGCAACAACAGTTCCCCAAAGCAATGGCTCAGGGTTCGGTGCCAACCCAAACTAGCCAAACAAAAAGTCTAGTGCACATGCCATCAGACAGCTGCGTCAAGGATCAAGTTCAGTCAGAAGGCACGGTTATGCCTTCAAAGGCCCGCCGCACCAGGAACTTGTGCCTGTGCTTGCTCTGCGACACCTGCAGAAGGTGACTCCGTGAAATCTCATATTTCTCAATGCTCATACCACTCGTACCGTCCTAGCAACTCCTGCCTCCATGCCCACCTCATATCAGCCCTTAGCTAGCATCGGCAATGCCATTGACCATAGGCCATAGGCGTCACGGTGAGCTTACAAGAACATGGCAAACTTGGCTTGGTTCGAATCATTCAAGACGGTGGTCATTGTTGACATCACCCAGTTCAAGAAGGCAGTACGGACAACTCCGCTTCTCAGCCCTGCACCCAGGCCTTTGGCAGCCGTTGCACATGCCGCATCATGGCGCTGCATGACAAACCTGGGCGTTCATTGGACGTGGCTCATTGAACATCGTGGTTTCCAGGCTCTGGGCTCTTTCAATGCCTCAAATGTCACTTCGTTTCCTGGAAAAAATCAAAGAGAGCATCCACAAAGTCAAGGGAATAAATCTTGTGAGGTCCTCCTTGCGCAATTTGTCGAACAGCCTGCCATACATTTGGAACATCGAATTTGCTATCACATGCTTTTAGTCTTGCGGACCTCACTCGCAGTCAGCTCAGGGTCCATAGCAGCTCTAATGTATTGTGGGGCACTGCCTTGGACGAAACTCAAAGGACAAATCCAAACATGGAGACCATTCCAACCGCTTTCAGCCCGTTCCCCTCCCTCTTCTGCACCTTCCATGTCGCTGTCCTCGGCGCAAACGGTCCACACGTGCCACGTGTAGGACTGTGGAGAACAAGTTCCGATAACAAGGTCGTGCGGACACCGCCGCCTGGCATCCTTGGCTCTTCATAGCGCCACTATCAAGGACCTGCTCCAGCTTGGCGGCGCCCAGCACTCCACGGTGGTCCTCACTTCCAGGAATCCCAATCCATGCGAATCTGAGCTCGTCCCGAAAGATCCGTCCTCTTTGGCGGCAATGAAAATGTGCCACAAAGCACGGTCCTGTACAAGGGATCCATGGCAAAACCCACACCTCAAGCCTGATCTGAGAAGGATGCCACATGATCTTCAGCCAGCTCCATGCAGCCTTAGGCAAACAGAGGGATCCTCCGCACAAATGAAGACCGACACTTGAATGCTGAGCAAGGAACGCCGGATGAAGTAGCCATGCGCGACTGTGCCCTGTCCATCTACATCAAACACCTGCCTGGCAAGGTGAAGGCAAGGCTGACAACTTGACACTGAAAGGAAGACTTGCAGGGGAGCTGAGTACTTCGCATGATCTTCTCAACACTTTGTACCTAGGATGGGCATGGTTCTCCTTCCAACGATTCTGTTCTCTTTCAGTGCGCGCACAGAGAGACCCAGCTGGAGAAGAGGCGCCACCCCTCCCACGGGCGTCCTCGTGGAGCACTGAGAACACGGAGTCAATGCGAACAGACACAGGTCAAAGGTGATTGACTCGCTTCAAGTCGCACGGGATGCTGCCGAGGCTCATTGCAACCTTGTCTATAGAGTCCAAGGTGCCATCCTGGCACGGCTGATAGGCGAACCAACTGGATGAACTCAACAAAATTATATTAGCCCCTCTTTCAGGTGCAACTGAGGTGTATTTTCTAGCTGCACATCCTGTTTGCATTAAAAGCCTAAGTCATAGAAGAAACTTGCCAATCGCCTTTGTTCCAGCAACATTCTAGGAGGCTAAATGCAACTTTCAAGCCAAGCGGCAAAGTGCTCAGGCAACGTTGCCTCCGCAAACACCCTGCTTGCTGAAGAGACTGACTTGGAACTGAGCTCATTCATCACCTGGCTCACCAGCTCCTGCGCACGTGGCAAAGAATTTTGCCGATGCATGGCACTGTCTGGCACTGCCTGGCACTGCCTGGCACCCAGTCCTTGCTTCCCCAAATCCGGCTGTCATACTTCACCAGACGGTCCAAGACAGATAAAGGCACCTTGTGATTCAAGAACGCGGCAGCTCCAGGCTGCAACCACGGATAGCACAAGCACTCCTCTGCTGTTGGACGTTGGGCGGGATTGCCTGAGTTGTGGCACAAACTGTGTGAATCGGTCTGTCTATATTTTTTAAAGTTATATAGTACATGCTTGGTGGTGGTGAATGCAGTGGAGGGAGCAAGGTGCTCTGGAGAAGCCCAAAATGATAAAGCATCGGCTGGAATACTATCTACAGTAAGAACTTTGAACCACACTCTTGGGTTTATCCTGACTGGTGGCGAAGATTCCTTTGGGAACAGCACTAGGGGATTGAGGTACCACATGCACATGCACAGGTCCATTGTCACACAAAAGGTCCCACCCCCTTGAGCCAAAGAAGGTGGAGATTACAAAATTATAATCAAAGCATATCAAAGCCATTCACAGCCGACGATATAAATCAATGGAGCCTCCGCCCTCTTGCCCAGTCGCTTTCAAGCATTCGCGAACACAATGCTTCTGCTTGAGCGGAAGCATGCCGCAAGTTTGACCATTCTATGTCATAAACCACTGCTTTGGCGGGAGGTTGAAAAGGCCCGCCGAAGGAGATGTCATTAGTACTGATTGGCATGTAACCGCTGAGGAGAATATACAGCAAACAACCACAAGCCCACACATCCTGCTTGGGGCTGCAACACTCCAAGTCAGCCAGGTAGTCGCTTGGAAAAAATCGCCAAAATGAGGTCTCCTCACGCTGTGGCGGCGTGACCTTGTTACCAGGTGGTCGCAGAAATCCTGCCAATGCCAAATCTGAAATGATGACCTCAGTTTCGCGAGGAGATGTGGCCCGTTAAACAACACAGGAGCTCAAATGATACTTAAATCTCACTACGCCACTGCAGACGGGGCACGTGTGGCGATGTTGCTGGATCTGAAATGGAGGCGAGGCCAATGCTATCCATTCCCAGGTCGCCATGCACCACGCATCGCGGCGTCAGCTGGTGGCAAAAGCTAAGTGCCTCCAATACTTGTCGCAGCACCTCGTGCAAGGCAACCAAAACACTCTCTCTCTCTCTCTCTCTCTCGCTCGGACTCTCTCCCTCTCCCTCCCCAACCGGTCCCCGCCCACCTCCCATCGCTGTCTTAGCTGTCTACCTCCCTGCCTGTGAGAGCCAACCCTCAGCCATCTCGATGTGGGAGTCAAAGCGGCTCCGCACAAAAGCGAGCAAGCGGATGCTGTCTACCAACTCAGAGATGATGTAAATGCTGTTGAAGTCCTGTCTTCACTTTGTTCTACGGCAGTGGCGAAACCAAACCGCTCTTTGGAAGAAAGCGGGGCCCTATATAAATGTAAGTCTCATGAGCTCCACTTGTCTCGAGCTTGCAGCATCCCACCTCAAAGCTCTCCACCACACGATGCAAATTGGGATGCTGCATTGAGCGCAGCGTTTCAGCCTCAGAGCGGACCTGGTCCTTAGCAACGCCAGGAATGCTTTGCATCTGTGACTCAGAATGGTGTGCAGTCTAGGAGCAGCCTGGCCCCACATCGTAACTTTGCTCTCAACTCAACACTCATCTAATCTGGCAACTATCAAGCGACTAGTCACCAGTTGTCATCACCAAGCTACTGATGGGCAGGCGAATCGGTCTTTCCGAAATTGAGAGCACAAACGATCCTCGAAGCTGAGTCCTTAGCTCATCTTGCAACGTCACACACTTGACACACACTCAGTTGGGATCTATTCCACGAAGGTGGTTCTTCAGGTGAGACCACGCTTAAGAAACAGCGATGCATGGGGAGACTGACCCAACATCAAAAATGAGGGGAATAGGTTTTTTCTTTATGCTAACGGTTTTTTTTATATGCTGGATGCTGGATTTGGGTGGGTTCTTTTTTTTATGCGAACGGTCTTTATTTTTATGCTGAGGGTTTTTATTTTTATGCTGAGGGTTTTTATTTTTATGCTGAGGGTTTTTATTTTTATGCT